TTTTAATTACCAGGGCTGTAAGCGACCAGGGCCTGATCGTCTAGAAATCGACAGTGCCTAGCAAAATGTATTTCAATACTGAGAAATGACGTCATTTTCCACGAATTAACCCGTCGACCTGCTATTTGCGCCCTCTATTCGATGCATTCATCTTTGTATACGGTGTGTCAACGACGAAGGTTTACTTCACCACCCTCCCTCCCTGCCCGATATTCGTCAGTAATGAGTGCTTCAATACCTATCGAAGTCGAAGTGGTTGATGACGGGATGAGTCACGGTAAGTGTCAAGTACACAATGTTGCAGCCACACGGGCTAGACAAAAGGTGGAAAAGCATGGTCAATGCTTATTTCCTTTTGTGTGCAATTAGTATAGTAGCGCGATAATGGTCATCCAGACTTTCATAGATTTGTGGCTCATTGTATACACATAACGATTAATTCCGTGAATTAAAGTGGTAGGTGAATATGACGTGTCTATTTTCGAGTTTGGGAAATGTTTGTGCTACGCAATTTCGTGGTCTCCCATAGACGTACGTGTTCAAAAGTGTGGGGGGGGCACTATAAACGTCAATATATATCTGTTCTATTTTTATAGAAGAACCTTCCCAATTAAAAAAAAAAATCTATAATTTAAAAATATAAGAGGTAGTCACTAAACCATGTACTTTCACACTCAAGCAAGAGAATATACATGTTGGTGAACTAGCCTTGCACTGTTAGTGTTTTATTGTTTACACTAAAGTTTTTTTCACAAATAAAAAAATTTAAAAAAAACGACTGCAGACCATACTTACTTATATTTACTAGTGGGCAAAATCTAAAAAAATTAGTATTGTGAAATTATTGTTTTCTTCCCAGAATCTAACATATTTTAGTGTGTTGCTTGAACGTAGTATTTAATTGCATAATTCATATTAGTTGCATACATTAGTTGCATATTCATATCGTGGTTTCATCGAGCAAGTTTATATATAATAATAATATTTTATAATAATAACATTTATATAATAAGAAACACTGAAAAATAATAACAAAGTAAGCCACATACAAAAACAAATACGGAGAAAAACGAATGGTAAGAATATATATATATATATATATACTGGGTAAAAAGGAAATCAGAAAATAGCTCACTGCTAGTATAGTCTGATTTCCAATATACCCTGGATGTAAATTATAATGTATATAGTGCAAGGCCAAAAATAAATAATAATATTAAGGTAGAGATGCAGTTTATCTGACAGCAGGTATCTTAATTAGTTAATTAGGAAACCAAGATGACCTCCCTTGTCCACAAATCTATATATTTTCGGAAAGCTTATTGTATGAATTTTAAAATTTTGTAAGTATTTTTTTATGGACACTGTAGTTTGAAATATGCACAAAAATGTGCTTTTTTGGTCAAAAGTGATTTAAATTGTTTTTTTGTCTAAACCATGCTTCTTGTTTCCTCTCAAAATTGGTTTACAGGTACATATTTTTACTATGAAGAAAGTGCTGTCTTGAAAACTGTCTACCAGTTGTCAATTTTGCAGGGCAGCTGCTCAAATTTCACTACTTCAAGTTTAGGCATAAATTAACACCCAGGCTAGTTGTCTGTACGATTGTTATAACAAAACAAAAAACAATGCCCCGACGGCGTTTTGAAAATAAACACATTGTCAATAATTTGTGAAAATTTCAAAACAAAAGGTCAAAGCCTCTAGGAGCTATTTTTTTAAAGTTCTGGGATGTGCACTAAAAAGAAGCTGAGATAATTGCTAATTTGCATAACCATTCACTCAGTAAGAAATTTGCTAATGCTCATAATTAAAATGGCTGCAACAGTTCCAAATTCAAATGTATTATCGTTTTGTAAAAAGTTAAATATAGTGCATAGTATGGAGATCCCATCATTACTTTTTTCACCATGTTTCTTTTTTATTATTTATGTACAGCCTTGCTAAATTTTGCTAAGCATTCAAAAGAGAGAATGTTTTCACCTGTTATCTATATTTTAAAATCGCCTTTTGAGTATGTTCCACTATTCAAAAACCAACCTGATGCCATACAGGACTCTGTAGTCTAAGAAAATAAGTTTTAGAAAAATAAATCAGGTTAAAAAATGAGAAAAAAATAACTTGGCAAACAAAATCATATGTGTCTAGTTTTCTGTCAATAATAATTGTTTAACCATTTTTTTGAACGGGCTGCGTGAGATAATTGACCTAATTGTAGCCGGGATATTATTCCATATTTTTGCACCTGAGTATGTCATCGAAAACTGGCCAAAAGTTGTACGGGTGTATTCAACAAAATTATTTTGATTGTGGAGTTGTCTGGTTTGATATGAATGATGGATAGGTTTGAAATAGTCATTAATATTATGGACAGAATTATGGCGGATTGAGTCATGTTTAGATGTTTAATTTTTTGAATAAAGGGTGTTCATTGAACGAACTAAACGTCATTGCACGAACTAACATGACATCATGACATAGGTATGACGTGTCTAAGTTTAAATAATAGGCCACACTTTTTTACATAAACCTATAACCCTATTATTTCATTATACGCTTAGCATCCGCTTTCCATGATGGAAGTGTGCAGCATGTCATCACGGACACTACCCGGCATGATGGATTATCAACCACTGCCAAAGAAGATGCGACAAAGGTGTTCTTTTCGCATAGTAGCAAAGATAGTGCCTGGGTCAAGGAAACTGTAGAGAGATTAGAGCAAAATCATAGCATTGAGTGTCTGTTTGATGAAAGAGATTTTATTGCTGGCAGACCCATAGTTGATAATATTATTAGATGCATCCGAAACACGGATAGAACAGTTTTGGTGTTGACTCCTGATTTTCTTGATAGCCCATGGTGTGGCTATGAAGCTCAGATGATTTTCAGTGAACATCTTTTTCGAGAACAGAAGATAATGATCCCAGTGTTGCTGAGTGAGTGCATTGTACCAGATTTTATGAAACATCTTACCTATCTTGATGTCAGAGATCCACAGTTCTGGGACAAATTTCTGGAGATATTACTCTTAGGTAAATTTATGTTACTATGACTTATTACGAGGATACCTCAAAGTATGCACGAAGACAGTACAGCGGAAGTATCAACCGACGCGCAGCGAAGGTCAATGTGACGAAGTACTGTCTGAATGTATACTGTGAGGTATCCTCGTATTAACCTTATTATTATACATATTTTCCTTTCAAGGATACATCATGGGAATGCCGAAATCCAAAAAGTTTAGAACAGAATCAGCGTCATCTTTGTGTGGAGTCTGGTCAAACCCTGGTGGACGCCATATTTGTTTTATTATTAGAGGACGCTTACGCGCGTAATGATGTCATATTTGGAATTCGCATTTCCTTATACGGTAGAATAAAAATACCCCGCAAAATTACAGCACGCTGTAACTTATGACGTTACGGTGGCAGATGTATAATAAATATATTAATTTTTTTGTCTTTTCATGTTTTTACCGTAGACAATACTGTTTACGCTAGTTTACAGATAGTAGTTCCCGAGAACGGCTTCATGTTAGTTGAACATTTTCTCAAATATAAACACATCATATGTTCTGTTTTAATGCAGAAATTTCTCACTGTTTTTATTTAGACGATACAAATGTGGAAATACACGACTCAATGTTAGAACAGTTTTCTTCCGGGTCTGAAACAGGTGAGACATTAAGTATAGATAAAGTTTAGTTCCCATATAAGGTATTCTGTTGTAATTTCAACTTTTTTAATATTCCATACTTTGCACTTTCGTTGGGTAAAGCTATACATTCTTGACATTGTATCAGCCAAAACACAAGGTCTGGTTTAAAAAGGCCGTTAGTTACATTTAGTTACAGTTATGTAGTTAATACAATGCAAATTTATAATACTTAATTTATAAAATCATGTATTGCCGGTTCACAGTTAACATAAAAATAATGCGTTTATGGCAATGCAGGTAGTGGTTGAACAACGGGTCACGTTACCAAAAGTCACAAATTAATCGATAACACCTGAGTGAAGCGAAACTACTACTCGACTTAGTCACCAATGATGGTGTGTGTGTGTAATAATATTATGACTGTTTCCCATATAACCACTGCGTGGTGTTCACAATAGTGCCATTAGCTACATGCTAGCCAGACCTAGGGAATGTTTGGTCTGAGGTTCGGCATACACCTGAAGCTTTGGTATCGAAGAAAAAACGCAGTAGTATGTGTCCCCCTTCCCACCATAGCCACAGGTGTTATCGCGCAGGTGTTATCGGTAGTAATAGTATTTGTCAGTCACGATGTTTATTATCATTGGACGGGTTATGACTTTATTAGTTTTTGATTGGATATAATTTTATAGTATCAATATTAAATTCCTTATTGTTGTTTATATTATAGTAAAATTTAATGGTAAAAGTATCCTGCCAGTGAACATGAACTTGACTCTTGATACTACTAGGATCTATGAATCTCTTGCATCAAAAGGAATCCGGGTGCGTCTCTCATGAACAATAACTGGGACATTAAAATGTTTCTAGATTACTCTTCGTTATTCGATTTCTTTTTTATTCCTTCTCGTCCCGATCAGCAATGACGTGAGAATTTTGTTTTTTACAGGTCCCTCAAGACAACATACATGCCGCGGTTGAAATTCTGACAAGAAGCTCCCCAGTCCGCTTTAGCTGTTGCTATGGGTGTTGTAAATCACACGCAATGCGAATAATACTATGGATATTTTCTCTTTTGTCTATATCGGTTTCATTGGTTTATTTTCTAGTATTCGCGATTCTCATCCAATCATTTGATGGAATTCCAGGGACTGTATTCTATTGCTTTGCAGTCGCGTTGATTACTAGTATGACATTACTTATATGCATGTTAAAGGTACATTTTGTATATTCAAGTATACGTTTTGTACACATAGCTTATCTCATCAATTATTCTACTCAGATCACCATCTGATCTAATGCGTTTAATGATTACATGATGACTTTGGATTTTTGTTAGATATAATATGGGATTTCGTGGAATTGTATGCAATATCAAATGATCACTGATGCCCTGGTGGCAAGAAATCTTTTCAATGGAAGTATAACTTAATTATTGAATAGTGCATTCATTTCTTTAAGCTCAATTACTTGCTTACAATAACATCACCGTGTTTTTCGTTGCTAGTGTGGTCGCATACATAAAAAGCCTGAACGCGAGGCAAATCTTCTCCTCATGGACCACGGTGTCATTCTTGGAATAGTACCTTCAACGTCAAGAAGATGCATGTATGACGTATCCTTTAATTTGTTACAATCTCAGTTTTGCACTGCATACTACTGTGTCCCATGGGTGTGAAATTTACATCATGAACAAAATCAGTAAATTGCATTAAACATATGGGAATTGTTGTTGATTGAAAAATTTAAACAACAATATTTCCATTAGCCACTTTTAATTTGACCAAATCGACAACAAATAGTAATCCATTTGTTGTATTTCCTATATTGTGATAGATACATTTTGTCCATTTCCGAACTGCTAAATGCTTGGTAAGTATGGTATATAAATATACACCGAATATTCAAACTTTTAATACATCACTCATTGTCGAAGTTGAGTCGTTGGGCATTACAGTAAGTACTATAAGCAACGAAATCGTCCCTGTATGTCCATCCGCCAGCGACGTAAATAGGTGAAAGAGACGTCATTTAGAGCGTTTCTTTATACTGTTACTGTGGCCGTCAGCCAATACAACTATATAATATATATATATGAATGACGCACGCCTGCATAGTCAAACATGGGTTGATATAATAAGATTTATTCAAAATAATAAATATAACTGAGTGATGAATATGAATAATTGATAAAATGTGCATTCACAGCGTACCCTGGAACGATATTTGAAAAGTAAGACCAAGAACAAGTTTCAAAAGGTAAGATAAAATCTATAAATACCATAACAGCTTTACAAAACGTTATCAACATGCATATTGTCAATATGAAGTTCAAGAGCACAACACACATGACTAGCACACAAGTGACAATACACCATAATCCTTCAAATCAAATAACTGACAAATAATTCACAAGGACAAAACAACTGACAACTGAAGTACGCAGGCAATTCAGTAAAAAAAGGTATATGAACCACACGAAGTAGTATCTGGCGTGCTATAAATGGTACCACACGAAGTAGTATCTGGCGTGCTATAAATGGTAGTATGGGTTGCAACATTATCGTCGCCAGTTGAGATTGTGAATTAAGCACACAGGTGACAATACACCATAATCCTTCAAATCAAATAACTGACAAATAATTCACAAGGACAAAACAACTGACAACTGAAGTACACAGGCA